GCAGAAAGCACTAACAATTCAAAATATATGAGATGACTTATACTATTGAAGTTAGTCAAAACGATAGCGCGTTTTAGAGTACAACTAATGCCATCTAGCAGTGGCGTGATGGAACTAATTGCATGTTAAAGTTGTGCTTGTCACAAGTGTAGATTGATTACATGCTGAAACCAAATTTCGTAAATTATGACTATAAATAACGCTCTAACAAACTAGAGTTATTACGTATTGTTTCTTTGGATAAATGACTATTTATGATTTTTATGATTATAAGCACAAGTAAAAGTAATCGTTACCGCGTGCGCCTTCGGCGACATGTCACGGCAACATTGACTATGAAAACACAACGAAATGTTGCTTTAAGAATTTACTCTAGAATTTAGAATATTAATCTGAATAGCAAACTACTTCTTTTTTTGTTTAAGAATATATTTTCTTAGAATACACCCAAGAAATTTTGAATTCATTTAAGATTATTTAAATTTTATGTAAGAGGTAAACATTTCTTGATGTAAGTAATGTCCAATTAATTGATTAGAAATGAAATAAAATCTTGAAGTGAACGTATTTGTCTAAAAGTTAGAATAAAGTTAAAATTGTATTAGAAAAAGATAAGCAGTATTTTTGCACTGGCAATATTTTATTACATATAATAAATATTTTTTCAGAATTAGCAAATATTTTGAGAAATTGCTCTTTCTTATTAGTAGAAATCCTTTTTTTCTCTGTGCAGACGCTTCGGGCTTCGCCCTCCACTGGACCTCGGCCTACGGCATCGGCACTTGTGACTTTGTTTTAGAAATTAAAACACGTCTTAATGGCGGCCATATTTAAAAAATGCAAAAGTCTTGACCACAAATTATTATCAGACCATCCTAGAAATTTTTTCGTGCCAATTTTCAGCCCGAGCAAACCAAGTTTTTTCAGCCACTTACATAAAAAAAAGAATGCTTATATGACGGCTATATCGAAAAATGGCAAAAACGCAATTTTTACAAGTTATGATTGAAGACATGTCATGCCATTTTCGGTCAGTTTAGCAAATTTTTATTTACCGCCAAAAAACGCTTCTATGGCAGCCATATTGAACAATGGCAACAAATTAGTTTTGATCCCAAATTATGATCAAACACCCATAAAGATCCCCATATGCCGATTGTCAGTCTTATTAGTGCATTTTTTTATCTACCGCTAATAAACGCTCGTATGGCGAAATATAAATTTTGACTGCAAATTATTATGAAACACTCGTGTAGGGGGTCCTCTACGGGTGTTTGATAATAATTTGCAGTCAAAATTTATATTTCGCCAATGCCATGCCGATTTTCAGGCGGGTTAGAGCAAATTTTTATCTGCCGCCAACGAACGCTTTTATGGCGGCTTAGTTTGAAAAAGGCAAAAAACCAATTTTGGTCACAAATTATAAGGCACTCCTAAAGGCCTTCCATGCCAATTTTCAGCCGAATCAGAAAATCTTTTTCGGCAGCAATTTTTAACGAAAAAGAAATCGCTTGAATGGCAACGAAAAGAACTTTTGACCGCAAATTATGATTAAGAACTCCTAAAGAGCTCCGCGTGCCAATTTTCAGCCATTTCTACCTTGAATTTTTTTGACACAGGCGTTTGACCATTGTTACCCTCTGTGACATTCCTTCCAGCACCTCCTACCTATCTCTAATAACAAGACCTCAGGCATTTGACCATTGTTACCCTCTATGATATTCTTTCCAGCACCTCCTACCCTACCTATCTCTAATAAGAAGACCTTGAAATTTCTATGGCGGCCATCTTGTTTATTTGAATTTCGAACATTTTTTACAACCGTCGGAAATTGGCCAGGGTGTACCACATAGTACAAATACACATGCTGGAAAATAGCATGCTAAAAGCATGCTCATGAGCATGCTATCAAAATGAGCATTATTGAACTGTTCACATTTGCCACAAATAAGCATGCTAGTTTTAAGCATGCTACAAATGAGAATGCTCAAAGTAAACCATCCGTTCACACTTGCTATCAGTGTTGCTAGGTCTACTGTTTTAACTGGAGATCTACTGATTTTGGCCGAGGTCGACGTCTGCTTTTCTAATAATAAAATTAACGAAAATCTACTTAGAAATTTGTATCGGATTGTTTAAAACCGATACAAATTTCTAAATAGATTTTCGATTGTCCGGAAACTTAACAAATTTTTTATGAATTTTATCTCGATGCGTAATGCAGCGCAGTAAGCCTGGGATAATGCAACGTTTAATTATCATAGCGGTTCGTGAATCGTTTGGTTGTTGTATTAATTACTATGATTTTAGTAAGCGAACAGATCAAATATTCCATTGCTGCGTTAGCATCAATTGAGTTGTATATTGAAGACTTTATTTAACCTTCAAGGTCACGAGACAGATTTGGTTATTGGGTTCTACTGTAGTTCTTTTGTAAGCTTTTGTAGTTATTGTGTGCTTTTGTAGTGGTTTTGAAATTAGAGCGAATTTACTGAAACCAAGTGCAGCGATTTAAAAAAATTGCACAACGTGCTGTCATCAAATACTTGTTTAATAAGAGATTAACACCGAAAAAGATCCACAGTGACATAGAAACAACATTAGGGGAATCTATTCCATCGTACACGACTATAAAAAAATGAGTTGCAGAATTCAACGAGACGTGGACGTGGACGACAGACCGTCGGAGAAGACTGTAGGTCCAGCCGGTCCACGGCGTCTACGACTGAGGAAAACCTCTGAAAAGTGTGTGATCTCGTTATGGAAGTCCGGAGATTGACTGTCAAGGAGATTGTAGACACTATGGGCATCTTGTATGAGTGGACATAAAACATAATTGTCAACGAATTTGGAATTTACAAGGTTTCTGCTAGGTGGCTCCCCGGGTTGTTTTCAGTGGACCAAGGGCGTATTCGGCTCGCAATTTCTCGTGACTGTTTGGAGATGTTTGAAGCTGAACCGCAAAATTTATTGAACAAATTTGATGGATAAAACTTCGGTACACCTCTATACTGCAAGCGGACCTATGTTGTCTTAAATAAAAAAACTACTATTATTATACACCAGAGCCCACACAACAATCGAAACAGTGGAAAAAACCTGATGAACCGACTCCAGAGAAAGCGAAAGCAGTTTTGTCGGCAGGCAAGGTGATGGTGACGCCATCACCTTGCCTGCCGTTTTTTGGGATGCTAAGAGTGTCATCATGGTGACTACCTTATGAAGGGCGAAATCATTAACTCAGCATACTATTGCACATTTTTGCGTCGTTTGCGCGAAGTAATGAAAAAGACACTCTCAGGATTACTCGGGACAAAACTGTTTTTTCATCAGGATAATGCTCGCGGTCTCACTTCTGTCGAATCTATTATATAGAGTAAGTAATTTCACATTTTATGTAAATGTATATGTAGGTATCTCTCTGTAGCCAGTCAATAAATGGCGGTCATAAGCAATACATAGGTGTTGTTTTAATTAGCAATGGCGCGAGGATGGGGAATCCTCGGATAATTGTTTTTTTCTGTGTGTGTTGTTTGTATTTTTGTATAATAATAGTGAATGATGGCGTCGTCGGGTAATATAGGAGAATTTAGCGTGGAGAACGGAAATTAGGACTTGTATTGTGACCGACAAGAAATGCATTTCTTAGTGAAGAAAGTGGAAGATGATTTTAAAGTTCCAACGTTAATATCAGTTATCAGCGAAGTTGGTTACGAACTGACGGTAAATTTGTACAACCGGATATATGAAATAAGAAGATATTAAAAAAAATATGCAAACTCATCTGACACCGATTATGTTCCCAGAGCGTTACCGTTTTCGGTAATGTAGATAAATGGAGGGGCAAACTATTTCGGAATATGTATCCGTTTTGAAGAAAATGTCAAGATTTTGTTAATTCGGTTAAAATTTCAATGAAAATATGTGTGATCACTTTATTTGTGGAGTGTATAAAGAATTCGGCAAGGACTTTTTATGATAGATGAAAAAATAAACTTTCAAAAGACGGTAGCAGTCGCAAAATCATGTGAGGCGGCAGAACGTGATTCGCTCATCATGCAGGCAGTGAGAAGCGGCAGCTGTGGCAGTGGTCACGGATACGGCGAGTGTTCACCCCGTGACATTGTCGCGCGACGATCCACCGGCTACTGAAACCAGTATGGGCAGCGGTAGTGGCATCAACCGTATCGAAGAGTCTGTGCATCGAGTGCAATTGAACCGCGACTGTACAGCATGCGGAGATCATCGACATCAGTGGAATGAGTGCAAATTTCGGAGGTATATCTGTGACCAATGTTCGAACCGTAGCCATTTGAAGCGCGTATGCCCAGAGCGGCGCTTAGATCATAATAAATATAACAATATGAGAGGCGAGGCAGTAGAGCGCAGCGAGCGGGACTAGCGACGGCCAGCGGCGCCGCTCGCGCAGCTTCACGACCAGCACGCGGAGCAGCAGGTCGGCCACTGCAGCGAAGGGAACATCGTCCACAACAGACGCACTACGTGCATGAAGATGATGAAGATGGGACACGCCAGTTAGAGAGTGACAGATCATTTTGGGAGGATGATGAACCAATTATGCAAATGTCCCTAAAGGAGTATCAACCGGTCAGTATACACTTATTGTGGATAATAAACTTTTAAAAATGGAAATCGATACAGGCTCAGCGTTGTCATGTATACCTAAGTGAACAATTATATAATGATAAATTCAATCATTTCTCTCTAGAACCCTGTAGTTTGGTTTTATCGTTTTACGATGGCAGCAAAATGAAGCCGGCCGGGTACATAGAGGCGCAAGTAACTAGATCTATATGTAATTAAAGAGGGTACGACTACATTATTGGGTTGCCAGTGGTTGGCAGAATTAAACATTGATGTACCTAAATTTGCGATAAATAACTTATTTTGTGAGAGTGAAGCATGATTCAGAAAAATAACTTGCTTTCTAGATATAAGCAATTATTTAATTGCGAGCTGGGGAGATATACCGGCGGGCGGACCGCACTGCTAGTGCGTCCCGAAGCGGAGCCGGTATTCTGCCACCCGCGGCCGTTGCCGTACGCGCTGCGTCCGCGTGTCTACGCTGAGCTGGATGAGATGCTACGCGCCGGCGTCATCGAGCCCATCGACTGCTCCGACTGTGCTACTCCACCAGACATAGCTGCGAAAGCGAATGGAGGTATTCGCATATGCGCTTATTTCATGGTTACATTGAATAGTGTTTTACAGGTCGATAAATATCCAGTGCGTTCAATAGAGGACTTGTTATCTAAAATAAGTGGAAGTAGGTATTTTAGCAAGTTAGATTTGTCACAGGCCTATAATCAGGTAAAACTAGATGAAACTAAACGTTATACTGTTATTAATACCCACCGGGGGCTTTTCATATATAACAGGTTGGTATATGGCAATCCATATACCAACGTCAAGCCCAGGTGTTTTTCAGAGAATAATGACAGAATTACTGGGCAATATTCCTAACGTTATTATTTCTTAGATGATATATTGGTATTTGAGGATACTTTTGAAAATCAGTTGCTAGCATTGAATAGTGTATTAAATAAATTAAGAGAACATGGAATGAAAGTGAAAACAATAATTTGCACATTTTTCGCTGAGGAAGTTACATATTTAGGGTGTGTGATAAACAAAAAGGGTAGGGATGACTGATGAAGAGAAAATCAAACCGATTTTACAGTTGATGAGTCTGAAAAATTTATCGAAACTAAGATCATTTTTAAGTATGGTAAATTTTTACGGCAGATTCGTTAGAAATTTAAGTAGCCACATAGCTTCACTTAACGCCGTAATGAGGAAAGATAAAGAATGGAATTGGGGCAAGGTCGAAGACAGAGCCTTCAATCAAATAAAAAAATAGTTAAGCAGCACAGAAGTGCTGGCGCACTGTGACGTGTCGCGGGCGCTGGTGCTGACGTGGACGCGAGTGCGCATGGGCTGGGCGCCCGCGCCGTGCTGGCGCAGCTGGCCGTGGACGGCCGCGAGCGCCGGGCCTCACGCACGCAGAGGTTATTCATATTCATATTCATTTATTTGCATTTCACATGGATGATAAACTTATACACGTGATACCCTGTGTAGCAAAGTTACAAAGGAATTTAAATACATTTCAAGCTTGAACGTAGTTAATTATTTTAGATAATTAATTATATTATAGATTCTATAATTATTAATAAACATAATTATTACACAATATTTTAATCTTAAAATTAATTAAATTATTATTTTTATAATTATTAAACATTTTTATTATTTATTACATTTAATATAATTTCATTTATTGCAATTCACATTTTAATAAACTTAGATACATACATGTGATACCCTATCAGGGCGTAGCACAATTTAAACTTAAACCTAATGATACAATTATTTTAACATATGTATATTATAATATATATTATTCGTACATTTATTTTATTATTATAATATATATTATTCGTACACTTATTGCTAATAATAATTTTTACTGAATTGTATTTTCAATTATTACCTAAATTTCATATAGACATGAAATCAATTTCAAATACATTTATCGCCAAAAAATTCAGACATATTATAATAGGTTTTTTTGTTTAGAAATTCTTTTAAACGTTTTGCAAAGACCGTGTCTTTGCAAAACAAATTTTTGATATTATTTGGGATGTGGTTATATACTTTTATTAACATCGGGTGTGGTACACAAGAACATAATTTTAGGCTAGAGGGACGAAGTTTAAGCTTGTTATGGTACGATTATTACGTCTTATTAATTTTGTAAAGAGTATAAATCTGCGTGTTTTTAACGAACTTACAGGCTTCAAAAATGTATAGGCACGTTAGAGTCAGTATGTTAAGTTTTGTAAAATACGGTTTACAGGAGTCCGTTTGTTTTATGTTGGTTAATATTCTGATCATTTTTTTTGTAGAACAAAGATTTCTTGACAATACGAGCTGTTTCCCACTAGTATAATCCCATAGGCTAGTCGCGAGTGGGCAAACGCATAATAAGCTGAAAGGGCCGCTTTTAGGTTTTTAATAGGCTTATAAGCTTACATTCAGTTTATAAATTAATAGTAAAGAATGCTGTAAACCTTCCTAAGAATAAATAAATAAATAAACACTTTTCAGTTGTCTAAGAGCATATGTAAGTGAAGATAAACGGCTAGATAATTTTTTAATATAGGGTTTCCAATTTATGTGTGTATCTATTTCAATACCCAACATAGTTGCCGAATCTACCATTTCTAATTTGTTTGATTTATATATATAGTTGATATCGAAAGCAATTTTTGGGCGGGGTTTAAATTGAATTAATTTTGCTTTTTCTAAATTTAGTTGTAGGTTATTTTGATCGAGCCATTCTGTGAGTGAATCCAGTATCGCATCTAAGTCCTTTTGTAGTGAATTAGTACATGTGCAAGGCAAAACAACTGATACATCATCCGCAAACAGTATAGAATTAAGTGAGGAAGGTCATTTACGTACACAAGGAACAGAATGCAACCCAGCACGCTTCCCTGAGGAGTAGAACCAGTGATAGAGATGACATTTGATCTGACATGCTCAATTTCGCCTGTATGAAAGTTAGTGTTTTCAATTTCAACGCATTGGGATCGGTTTTGAAGATATGATTGAAACCATTTAAAAGCTAGGCCTCTTACACCAACATGATAGAGCTTGTCGAGTAATGTTTTATAATTTACTCTGTCGTATGCCTTACTCACATCGAGTAGCAAACCCACCGCGTATTCTTTGTTGTTAATTATGTTTAATATTTCCTGAACATACTTGTATAAGGCTAGGACCGTGGTTCTATTTTTACGGAAACCATATTGGCTGTCATGGAGAACTTTAAACTTTTCAAAAATGTAATGAGTCTTTTTGACATCGCAGTCTCTATTACTAGGTTAATTATAGTCAGATGGACTTTTTTTTATAATATCAAGTGGCGGGACGAACAAGTCGTGCGCGTGATGGTAAGCTGTACGCCCGTCCAGAACAGTTGCAGTGCCACTCAGAGCTTTAAATCGCAAAGATCTGAGGAACACTGGCACTGCGCCCGTCACCCTGAGACGTAAGTTGACAAGTCCCATGTGCCTGTAATTTCACTAGCACCCTTTCCCTTCAAAACCGGAACACAGTAATGCGGACATTACTGCTTAGCGGCAGAAATAGGTAAGGTGCAGTACTACCCTGGACTACTACTGCTACTAAAAGATTTGTAAGAACGTTACAAAAGAAGCTATTTTAGATAGACAAGATATGGAAACGGCACTGTATAGGGCACTACTTACCACGACGGGTTAGAGTCCAGTACATATTACAGGGGCGAGCGCTGCGCACGGGTCTGGACTGTATGAAGCCAGAGGTGCGCGCGGCTCAGGCATGATTATACATACGCACGTTGACCAAATTAGAGCTCGTATTCAATGTAACCTGAATCCTCTGTTCAGTTACCCGTTAAACGGGAGTAAAAGCGCTAATATGGAACTAGTGGAGACAGCGCAGTCGGTGGGGTCACCCGCGGGAGACGTTGTCGGCGCCGAGTGTTCGGCGACTGCGTGCGGCGCGGCGGGTGGCGGGTGCGGTGGCTGACGCTTTGCCACCACCACTCTCGGTCACGCAGCCTGGCCTGTCTGCCGTTAAATCACATAGAGGATACGCAAAGCTCCAATTCTTTATCGCCTAGAGATAGATTAGTATTAAGTTTTTTTTTGCATTTCTATTATATAAGATTAATTTCAAAATTTATATTTTACCGATTTTTCTGTAATTAGTATTAGGTGCCTATTAGATTTAATTTTAATTTTTATACTGTTTTCAAAAGGAAGGAAGAAAGTAGAAATAAGAGATTAAATCTTGTAAAAAAAAAGTTAAAAAAAATGTACTTTAAATATAGATTATGTATTAGGTAGGGGAGGAAGGTGTTATATAGAGTAATTTCACATTTTATGTATATGGATATGTAGGTAGTTCCAACTCTCTGTAGCCAGTCAATAAATGGCGGTCACAAGCAATACGTGTTGTTTTAATTAACAGAATCCATGGTTAAAAAGTCATAATATGGTTTCGAATTACTGCCCCACCCGGCTTATTTTCTTGGTTTAGCACCTCCGGATTTTCATCTGTTCCCAAACCTAGATGACCTAACCGCAGTATAGAGTACTAAAAAAACCGACCCCAAACGTCATTCATCCCCTAGTTTACTACCCTTAGAGGTCGAATATTTTCTTCAAATTTAATGGACCACTTCTGAGGTACCCTCTTCCCAACAAAAAAAATCATCAAAATCAATTCACAAATGGCGGCGTTATCGCATAACATACATACAAAAAAAAACGTGTAGTCGTATTGAGAAACTCCTCCTTTTTTGAAGTCGGTTAAAAAACACCACACTAGCCAGAAATTTTCATCGACTGAAGATGTCAAAGCAGCATTAAATGGGTATTTTTAAGACCTTGAAGAATCTTTTTTTAAACTGATGTAGAAGCTTTGGAAAGCAGGTGAAAGAAATGCATAGAGCTAGGTGGAGATAACATCGAAAAATGAAAATATTTTTGTAAGCATTAAACTTTATTTTCTTGGTTAGGCCGCAAACTTTTCAATCCACACCTGAAAAGAGCGCAGAGAGCTGTTCTTAGAGTGATCAACTTTCGTCCTTTCGATTACACAACCCACAAATTATTAAACGAGTGCGATGTTCTATCTGTTCGGCAACTGTTTATCCTGCTAATAATTTTGAAAAAGCACGCAATTACTCCATAACTAAGCAAAGACGACACGATCCCTTTTCATCTCGTACACAACTCCGCACAGCACACTCACATAGATTCTTCCGCTTCCTTGGCACATTCCTTTATTTTAAAATAAATTCTACTTTGCATTATTTTCATATGAATAAAACTGAATGTAAAAAGACCGTCAAATTTTGGCTTAAGAGTAAAACCTACAATGATACCGAGGACTTGTTGGAAGTTATTTCATAATTTATATTTATATAATAAGTAATGTTTAACTATTTATCTTTTATAAATTGTAACTACTTATAACTACTTATCTTTTATTTGTTAAATTTATAAAATCTTTATCTTATTTTTTAAAGCTTTGTTATGAAAAATGCACTATTATGCCTAAAATACAGGTACACATGTACTTAGTTTAGGCATCGCAATTGCACTATTAGGCACTAAGATTAAAATGTTTAATTTTACCATGATTATTTTATATAATTTAGATTTTTTTTTTGTTTTGTTGATTACTGTTTATTTTAATATTTTATCTTCATTACATTGTTTTCATTATAATTGTATTAGATTAAGTCATATTGAAATAAATTTATCTTATCTTATCTTATATCTCAATTAGACTGTTTTTCTACGTATGTTACGCGATAACTCCGGTTTTTGTGAACCGATTTGAATGATTTTTTGTTTTGTTGGGAATAGGGTACCTCGGTATTATCCCATTTTAACTTGAAGAAAATATTCCACCTCTGAAAGTGGTAATCTAGGGCCTAAGGGATGAATTCGAATTGAACGGGTTTCGCGCACTAGATATAATACCACGAACTTTTGAAGTGGCAGTTTTTTTGGTACTCTGTACTGAGCTCATATCATTAGTAAAGAGTCGTTTCTGCAAAAGGTGCTATAAAGGTTTTTTCAATTGTGTCTCTAGCAAAGCAGTGAAACAGTACAGGGAGCATCATGAAGACCGCAGTAACGGCGCTGCAAGAGATGATGGTCAAGCTGAAAGAAATACCCGAGTATGAATGTATCTCGCAGGTGAACTATATTTATTTGCTACCATAACCATTATTTTTCTAATTAATTTATAAAGTCACTATTAAGTGGAGCTCTATTGTCTATGCCTACTCCATTAAGAACAAGATAGGTGATAACAAGTATGCATGTACTAGGTACGTACAGGCTGTCCCAAAAGTCCATGTCAAGCGGGCACCGGGCGAGACTGACCCAGATTAATTCTGGTAAAAATAAAATAAAAAATCCAAATCCCTGTCTTAGCTACGTGATAGTAGGCATATTTTTTGTAAATGATGAAAATCGACACCCTGGATTTCGTCTTTAGGTAGGAACTCTCATCACAACTTTTCAAATTTTTGCCATGCAATTTATCGCAGTCACAAATCAAACAATGAACGTTTTGTTAGTAAAAAATAAGTTTAATTGCGAGTTTAATAAAAATTATGTCTGCTAACTTTGACACTTCTTATTTAGTCTAGATTTCAAAATGGTATATAATTTGCCACTTTTCATTCCAATTAGGTACTTCATATTTGCCACTTCCGGTAACGAAAATGCTTCTGCCAGTAGCCTACTTGGTGAAAAGTTGATGGAAACGGAAATGAGTGATTCAAATAAAAACTCCAAGAAAAGCCCTTGCACAACAAGTCTTTCATCCAGAACACTTTTAACAGTCAGAGGCTAACTCTTTTTGTGAAATTATTACAAACAGAACAAACTCCACTACTGCGAACTGTAATTGTTTCGGAGGGAAAACGAGAGTACAGTGCCTGCACTATCAACGGGTTAGCTCCTAATATCACCAAGTTAGAGACATTCATAAAAACAAACCAACTAGGCGTAGAGCTAATATCAGGCCCAAGTCACCATAAGGAGCAGTCCTCGTACCAAGGACTACATCTACTACGTCCCTAATCCAGATGGTGGTGCACACGCCGGAACTGTTTTATCAATCTTAAAAAGCATTAAACACTCTGCCATTGAGCCGTTTTCTACCACGCATATTCAAACAACCATGGTTACAATTTCGTGCTTTCTTCTATGTACTTTCCGCCAAGGCACAAAATTACAGCAGAAATGTTCTTCGCCTATTTTCAGACTCTTGGTTTAAGATTCATGGCAAGCGTAGATTGGAATGCGAAACACACTTTTTGGGAGCTCCCCCTGTACTAGCACTCATGGAAGGGAACTAAAACGCTGTACTGACACCACACAAGAACAATAAATATAGTAGAAGTGCTTAGTTCGCGTAACACGTGTGCCAACAGTACGCGGAGTACTACGTGCTTGAGCTCAGTCCGCCAGTTTGTGCCAGTTTGTGCGTTACCTATGGTCGTGTCAATTATCTCGCGCGAAACTTTGAAAATCGTAGAAGTTTTCTTTCTACGAAGCTAAAGTGAATGCTCAAATTGTTTGCATCGTCTCAAAAAAGATCTTTCAATCTGTCGTGCGAATCTCTTCGTATTTATTTATGCAGCCCCAGCAAAAATCAAAAGGACTTAGGTCCGGATAACGAGGAGGCCACAAAATTGAGGCAAGGAGCCCAGTCCACCTCCTGGATATTTTATGTTTTAACTGCCGCCGTGGCCGAATGGTTACCATGCCGTGCAATGGTGACTGCCACGCAGAGGTCCTAGGTTCGAGGTTCGTGAGTTTGGGTGTAATTTGTGGTTGTCTAAGTGTGTGTCCGTCAAATCCGCGACACAGGTTTTCCCTAGTGTGGAGCTATGTTGAGTGTGTGCGTTATAAATAATAAACATAATGCCCTGGACAACCATCTTGTTGAAACCACATTTCTAGTAGATGTTGAATGGTATATCTTGTTACAAAGTCTGCAAATCGTTTTGGAGAAAATATAAGTAGTTGTCGCCATTTAATGTTTCGGGCAGTTGAAATTGTTATTATTATTATATTTTAAACGGACAATTATTTGTCCGACACCTTCCGGACGCGAGAATTTTTGATTTTTGTAATATACGAGTTCATACGAACCCTGCCACCTGTCACTCGGCGAGGCGGTGCGTGGCTGAACGCCGTGCCAAACAGACAAAGCGTGTGCGGGCCGGACCCGTGGCGAACGTGAAGTGGGTACAGGCGCTTCTATGCAACTAACCACAGAGCGTCAGTTGCGGGACGCGGTCCGGGCGCGAGACGTTAGCGGAGCTTCAGTGGGTTTGGACGTTGTATTTTTTACAATTGTGGAGTGTTTTATATATAATTTTAATTAAGTTTCAAGATGAATTCGACCGAAAAACTTTATATCATTGGTGCAATCATACCCCAGTTTATTGAATACAAGTGTCAGAAATTATAAAAACAGTTTAAAGAAGGAAATGATTTGGGAAAATATTTCCAAGCAGCCAAATCAAAGTCGTGAAAATACTATTTTTTACCTTATTATAACCACTAGACTCTCAACTTGTTCATCCCGTCATTTTACATTTAGTTTATAAATTAATATTAAAGAATGCTGTAAACCTTCCTAAGAATAAATAAATAAATAAATAAATAAATTTGGTATCTTGAAAAAAAAAAAAGAAAACCTGGATAGCAAATACGTGTGGCGCACTATAAGGTTCCGGAATGAATAAGAAAAAAATACTATAAATGGTCAGAAGTTAATTTATTGTTTCTCAAAATATTCTCCGTTAGCGTTAATGCACTTTTTCATACGAATGAACCAATTTTGAAAACATTATGCCACTCCTCGCTCCGTGACAATCTCTAAAACATATTTTTCATACTCTTCGACACCCTCTTCAGGTGATGAAAATCGTTGACCGCGTAACTGGTTCTTAATTTTTGGAAATAAATAAATGTCACAAGGTGCCAGGTCGGGACTGTACGCGGATGGCTCATAAGGTCAACGTTGTTCACCTTCAAAAATTCATTTGTCTGTCTGGCCGTGTGAGAACTGGCATTATCGTGGTGCAAGATGATACGGCGTTTACGGTTATTTTTACGGAGTTTATCAATAACTTCCGGCAAACAAATGGTCGTGTACCAATCACTATTCACTGTACGACGATTCTCCAAACCAACAGTAGCCACGTGTCCAGTTTTATTAAAAATAGAAGCAATCATCCGCTTAGAGGCAAATTGCACGCGCGCCACTTGGTTGGTTTCGGCTCATCTCGAAAAACCCATACGGTCGATCGCTGCTTTATTTTGGGATCGTAACTATAAATCCATGTTTCGTCACCAGTTACTATGTTCCACACCAAATTTGACGCCCCTACGTTGAATCTGGTAAGCATAGCATTGCACCTATAGTGACGCGATCCGTTTTTTGACCCTCGGTCAAATTTGACTCATGCCTATGCCTAAAGGTGTCCGAATCTCATGGTATGTCACATGCCCGTCTGTTTTGATCATACGGCGCACAGCATTGATGTTTTTGTTGTTCACAGCAGTGGACGGGCGACCATCACGAAATTCGTCACTGAGATTCACACGACCGCGTTTGAATTCTGCAAACCAAATATAAACAGTCGTCTTGCATGGTGCTTCATCGCCAAAAGCAGTTGAAGCCGAGTGAAGCTCCGCTGAGCTGTTAAATTACACTTAAAGTCGTAGAAATCATAATTCGAAAATTTTCTCGAGTTAAATCCATGGTGATGTAGACAACCAATTTCTAAAATGACACCACAATGTAAAAACAAGTGACAGTCAGATGAAACAAACTGTATTCTACAGCCAAAGAGTTCCATGTTCAAAAGTTGTAATTACTTTTTAAATATTGTTTATGTAAATGGCCAGTTCCGGAAACTTATAGTGCGCCCTATGTAATAATATATGTAATTACTATTATTATTTGTATATTTACTTTATTGATGAATAGAGTATTTATGTAAAAGGCTTTCATTACAAGATACTCTTAGATTGCGCCCCCCATTTCAACTCTTGTTAGATAGTTGGCAAAGGTGTTGCCTACTCATAAACCACTTCTTTTTCAGGTCTTCTGGAGTCAGTTCTAGAGTACTTGGAGGCAATGTTTTATCAATCATTCATCTCAAGCATGAGCCTTTATTGTTATTGCCAAAAAATCTTTTGATTATAGTCGGGGCCGCAGCACTTGGCGACTTTCGAGTATCGCTGCTCCGTCCGCGGCTGCGTGGTCAAGGCCTCTGCGCGCTCCAAGAAGGAGGCCAAGCAGGAGGTCGCGAGGGTCATGCTTCTCGCACTCAAAGCGCGCGGTGAGGACGTGCCGCCGCCTTTCGACCGCCCGCCGCTTCAGCCACCCGTCAGTCAACTATATCTATTACTTGTTCGTTTAGGACGCCCTCGTCACGTCGTAGAGTCACGAGCGACCTATTAATTCCAGCCCGGCGCGGCCGAGCCGGCGCCCGCGCCTACGTCGGGTCCGGGACCGCGCAGCTACGTGGCGCTGCTGAAAGAGCTGTGCGAGGAGTACCATCTGCCGGGCGTGGAATACGAGCTCGTGAGCGACACTGGCCCGCCCCACATGCGCCAGTTCGCCGTGCGCGCGCGCCTCGGCCAGCACAGCCGCCTCGCCGCCTCCACCACCAAGAAGGCCGCCCGGCAGCTGGCCGCGCAACAGCTCTACTCTTATTTGCGCGACAACCTCTCGCGGCTCACGACCGATTTCGTCGAGGTAAACAGATAATGATCAATTTATTCGCATTCTGGATTCTGCAAGTCCGACTTACATAGTTAACATTCACGTTTTGGTTTATACAATTAGATCCTCACGCCCAGTTTATTACACCTAGCATTCAATTTCTTTTTTAACCGACCTTAAAAAAGAGGAGGTTCTCAATTCTTCTGTTTTTTTTTTTGTAAAACCTTGTTAGTCGTTTACTATGACATAATTTCTAAACTTCCCTCTTTGTAAAAAGACGCATCCGTTTAAGGCGCGGAAGAAAAAAAACAATGGAGGAGCCTTAAGCCTCGATTACATCGGAATCGCTATTGCCAAAACTCTCATTAGCATAATTTAAACATAATAAACCTTGATCGGTCGTAGTTTCTGATTTAAAAAAATATAACAAATTCTGGACTGTGAATATAATTAAAGTTTTATATATATACCGACTAGAGTCGGCATATCGTCGAAAGTGCAATACCCGTTATTGCAAGTTCGACGTTTTAATTTTATATTGAAGTTTCAGTCGTGCTGCGATAGCTGAAACACGACAGACGATTAAAATAGTTATTTTTGTTACAAGTGCGGAAAGTTCAAGTCATTATTCACGAGGCTAAGACTCGAGACAGGTGAAAATGACAAATCCGCACGTGTATCACATTTTTAATACATTTGCGAAAAAACTACATTGAAAGTAAAATAAAACAGTATTTTAAAAAACTCGTATCTATTATTGCTCTTATATATTTCTTTGTCTGATAAAAATTCAGAGTACAGTGGCAACTGTTCCCAGTAGTCAGCCACATTAATTATTTTTATTATTACTATTTTATAATACTCACCTCCGGTCATTGTTAATACTCAATCAGTCATCTTTATGGAAAATATTTTGGTATTTTTAAATGTAACCCATGCAATTGTTTTATAAAACACCAAAAAAAATATTCTTGTTTTTACTGTAATAATTGATCAGTTGAGGCTATAGTTTGTAAATATTTGTTGTAGTTATTTTATATATATGATGTGTGATGTATGATCCATCAGGTGGCGGTCACTTGGAGCGTACGAACATTCTGTTGCTCATTTTTGTAAAATTATTTATAACGATCCCTATACCCCACCTACGTTGGGGTCGGGCTCGACCTGCGGCGCGTGGTCGCTTTCAGATTACGGGGTGTGCTTATGCTCTTCGATGGCACGTTCCAGATTCTATCCCTTATTTGAGCCAATTTATGAAAAAAACTGGTACACTGGTAGTACAGGAAATTCCCTAGTTTGAGACCAGAAATTTGAAGTGATTGTCTGGCATTTTTTCCCTAAATACTTCTCTTTTTGGCATAGCTTCCAATAAAAAAGAGTCTAACAGAGAGACGGTAGAGATACAATAACGCTATAAGTTGTATAAGTAAATAAGATATGATTTCCACTACATCGGGAAGTGTGCCTTACATTTTGAACAATTGTGAAATCAAGTCTCCGTATACTACCTACGTAAGGTGAGGCTTCGCCCTCCGCTAGACATCGGCCTACGGCCTCGGCACTTATGACTGTAAAAAAATTAACATAGCTCTTTAACGGCGGCCATGTTGATAAATGGCAAAAAGTCAATTTTGACTGCAAACTATTGTTAAACACCCATACAGAACCCCTCATGGCGATTTTTAGTAGAATTAGAGCAAAATTTTGTCAACTGCTAAAAAAGTTTGTAAGGTATATTGAAAAATGGCGAAAAAAAGATTTTGACCGGAAGTAATTATTTAACACCTATAGAGATGGATTGAAAATCGGCATGTGGGGACATGTCGATTTTCCATGTGAATTAGAGCAAATTTTCATTTACCGCCAAAAAATACTTCTGTCAGCCATATTGAAAAATGGCGATAAACTAATGCTGATCAAAAATTATTATCAAGCACTTCTAGAGCAATTTTGGAAAGGATCAGAACAATTTTTTTTTCTACTGCCTACAAAGGCTTGTATGGCGGCCATATTTGAAAATGGCGAAAATCCAATTTTGAGCACAAATTATTATTTGGCACTTCTACCGACCGCAAACACAAATAAAGACAGATGTGCGCTTGCAACAAATGTCACAGGGCTACTAAGGGGAAGTACCTCACCCCTCGAGGACATCACCGTCGCGCAACCGTTTATTGTTTGTAGTTTTTATAAAATAACTAAAATAAGGTCACTGCGGTCTCTGAGACCGCGCGCAACCGCTAGAAGGTTAACTACAGCCCCTTCTAGAGCAATACAATCTAATAGACTAAGTACCGCTACCAGCAATATTAGTCCTGTGGCATATAAACAAACTGTATTTTTAAGACCACGTTCTGCTCCGAAAACATCCAACGGCTACGACCGTGCTGATCACAATGCTCTAATTAAAGATTTTTAAATCCCTGCACCTTCTAATGGTTGTGCCCTGACATGTGGAACAGAGGATGTAGAATCTAATCAATCCCAAGTCCTTGACCTATTGCTAAATTTCTTCAACTCGCTAATTAAAAGTAATGTCTTAAAAGCGTCTCACGTTGCCTCTTTGAATAAAATTTTTTACGTGATGACAGATCTGACGGATATGGCGGTGTTGCCATTCTCGTCAAAAATTATGTTCCATTTTCCCGTAACCTAATTCTGATAATATAAATATTGTAGGTATTAGTATTTAAAAATATTTATAATATATTGTTTCCATTTACCTTTCTCGTCCCTCTGATTCGGTTTTCAATGAAATTAATAACATTTTAATTAGTCTTCGACGACCATTTTTGGTTCTTGAAGATTTTAATTGCCACCATCGTTCGTGGGGCAGTGGAGTGACTTATTAGTCACTATTGTGGTGGGGAATCTTTACTAGAAATGTTAGATACCCTTAATCTCTGTGTGTTAAATACTGGTGCTCCAACTCGACGCACAAACCCCAACGAAAACATCAGCGTTGTTTACTTGCTATTTGTACTCCGTCTTTGGCTTCTTTCATGTCTTGGTCTCCCCTTCATTACTCTTTTGGCAGTGATCACGTCTCTTTGATTATCTCGACGCCTATTCAAAACAAAGCTGCTCCTAGACATAAGTCTCGTTTAAAGCTTAAACTACATGACGCTGATTGGACTACATTTAAAACTATGGTTGAAAGTGCTTAATAGATGTAGCAGGTCAATTGTTATACTTCTTCGAGGAAGATTCCTTTTCCACCATGGTGGGATGCTCAATGTGTTGAAGCTGTATGTAGGAAGAAAATGGTAGAGAGAGATTATGCTCTGGATATGTCTGATGAAAACTTAAAAATTTTACAAGATACCATCAAATCCACTTACGAATTACTCAGTGAGAAAAA